TCCGATCTATTGGTCTGAAGGTTCACACTCAGAAAAAGTAGGATTTATCATTTTTATAATTGTTCTTTTGTGTTTCATGTCCTGCATTATCTCTAGGGGGTTCTTATTGTATTCCTGTAGAGGACTATTGGTATTTGGTGCGGATATGTTATTTTGGTTTTTCATGTCATTATTTCTGTGATTTTGACATAAATTTCTTTTGTAGTTTCTGATTTTTGTGTGAGACTCAAAACCTTCAAGTTTAGGTCTGCTCCTTTTTGTGAGCTTTATGTATCTTTGTGGTTTGCTTTTTGGTAATGAAAGGCTGTTTCCTCTAAGCTTCCAGCTCTCTCTTTTGATTTTATTTTGAAGTTGGCAGATTGCTTTTGTCTTCAGGATTTTCCACAGAGGCCCAAATCATATGAGGATCAGATGCTCTCAGGCTTTCTCCTAAGGTCTGGATCCCTCAAGGATAGATTCTGGGCTCAGGAATTTAGGGGTTGGACTGATCTGGGAGTCAGGCCCCGGAAAGATGCTGGTCTAGAGCACCTGTTGGCCATTCCATCTAGAGATGCAAAAGAAGATGGGGGTGGAAGGTGGTCCCTCGGGCCCCTGGGGACTGCACTGAGGAACTGGGTTGGTCTGGATACAAAGGACCAGGAAGTGGAAAGTCAGCCCTGGGATCTAGGAAAGAGGCTGGCCAGTTGTGCAGACTGGGGAGGTAGAGGGAGGTGAGGGCAGGGCCAGGCCCAGAGCGCCCCTGTGTACCCAAGAAGGAACTGAGTTGCTCTGGATGCACAGGATCAGGAAGCAGTGGTGGTTCCCCAGCTGTCTGGGTCACCAAAACAAGCAATGGGACAGGACCCAGGCTACAAGGAGAGAACGGCTGGGGACATGGGAGGGTGATTGAGGCTGGGGGAATCAAGGCAAGGAAGCCCTGATCAACTTACCCTGGAGAGAGAGGCCTGCGGTTTGGAGAGGGGCCTGTGGTTAGTGCAGGCCCAGGGAAGGAGAGGGAGGTGAGGGTGGGGCCAGGCCCAGAAGCAGTGCTCCTGGGGACCTGAGAAGGAACTGAGTTACTCTGGATGCAAAAGATCATGAAGAAGCAGTGGTGGTTCCCCAGGGCCTGGGGCGCCAAGACGTGGAATGGGACAGGGCCCAGGCTTGGAGGAACGAACGGCAGGAGAGATGGGAGGGTGAGTGAGGCTGGGCGAGTCAAGGCTTGGAGGGCCCAATAGACTTACCCCCAAGAGAGAAGCCTGTGGGTCCTGCAGGCCCAGAGACTCAGAGGGACAAATTATAATTCTTAAGACAACCACTAAAAACTTTGAAAAAAAAATGATGGGAGAAATGATAAAGCAATTGAAATAGTACACTAGAAAATACTGAACACAAAAGATAATGGTATTGAAGGAATGGAAGAGAAAAGGCATCAGAAAATAGTAAAATTACAAAAAATATGAATTGCACAGTCTAATGAAAAGGCAAAGATTGACAGAATTGGTAAAGAAAAATGGCCCAACCTTAATGCTGTCTACCTGAGACATGCTTTATTCCCTCCTTTGTTTTTTGTTAGTAGGTTTGGAGATCAAACCCAGTACCACTGTGCATGCTTGGCTACCATTGTGCTACAGCTATGCCCCATCCTGGAGACACACTTTAGATTAAAAGACATAGATATGGGGCTGGAGAGACGGCTCAGTGATTAAGAGCACTGGCTTCACTTGCAGAGGACCTGGGTTCAGTTCCCAGCACCCACATTGTGGCTCACAACCATCTGTAACTCTAGTTCCAGGGTTTCTGATACCGTCTTCTGGAATCCACGGGCATTGCAGGATACAGGTGTGCTTATATACAATCAGGCAAAACACACATAAAAAATAAATAAAATTTTTTAAAAGACATTTTTGACATATAGTGGGGAAAGATATATTATGCAAAAATTAATGCAAAGAGACCTGAATGGCTACTGATATCGTACAGAATAACTTGGAGGCCAAGCATGCCACTACAGGTACCGAAGTATGTTATATGTTGATATTAGTCTAGCAAGAAGATAAGGCTCTGTATATGCCCCATCATTACAGCAACAATATATACAAAGGGCTGACAGTGAAAGGATAGGCAGCTTGACAGAAAGAGTTGGAGCCTTGCAAAGTAGGCTCTTGAATCTAGTTTATTCATCAATGTATCCTCAAGTGCAGTATGGCAATGAGATCCTTCTTCATAGAGTTGCCATGAAGATACATTAAAAAAGCACACCGTGGTTATTATCCCTGTTTTACAAAGGAGGAAGTTGAGGCCTGGGTAGGGACAGTGAGTTGTCCTGCGTTTCAAAGCTAAGTCTACTGGGTTCAAAATCCATGACTGCTGTATCCTGTCTCGGCCTGTGGTTCTGTTTCCTAGGCAGCTGTGCCTGAGACGCTGGGCCCCCTCAGTGGTCCTGGGCACACAGACATGGAAACAGTACTATTTATGCCGGTCTGAGTTGGAGTTCCATGTGGAATCTGGGCAACCACAGGACTTTGTCTGCAAAGCTATTTCTGGGCACACAGGTCTGATGGGAGCTGCATCCATTCCCACTGCCCGCCCCTCTGCTTAGGGGACTTGGCATCTCAGCCAGTGGCTTGGCAAATGTTGCTTGATGAATAAAGGCCTGGTTGGATACTATTCCATTTGTACTATGTCATGGGAGGAAGGAATGAGCCATTAACCTCTTTTTTTAGAGTAGTCTGAAAACTTAAGAGGAGCTGGGGCTTTGTCATTATAACTGGGTTCTGCTCTCAGAAGTGCCCACCTGCTGCCACGGAACTGTAAGTTGCATATTCAGATCTCAGTCCATCCATGCCTGTGTTCTCTTCCAGGACAAATAGATCAGCTGGCCTACATCTCACCAAATGAGTACTGATTTGATGGAGGGGCGAAGTCTGTGGTGTGCACTGTGTCATCAGACTGTACCATGCGTGCCTGGGATCTGCATGAGGTGAGCTGGCCCCTGGGGAGAAAAGGCAAGGGTCCTTACTGTGTCCTTGATATAATCACCTAAGAGGACTTCCGAGGTGGGGAGTGGGAGCAGATGAATCCCAACTCTGCAAGCAGCCATCACCAGTGGGTCACACTGGTAACAAGCCTGGAGGACTTCTGAAACTGGAGAGTGACCAGTCTCACAGGACATGTGCTTGGCTTCCTGCTGTGCTTCCTTGCTTTCTCTTGCAACCTGACTTTGTCTGTGGTGGTGGGGGCTGTTCTGGCCTGTGCCTGGGAAGACAGCTGCTTTACCATTCCTCACTTTCACTGCAAGTGACTCAGCCACATGATCCTCCATGCTAGACCTGATACTGCCCCACCAAGCAGTTTTGCCAAGATATGTACAGCTTTTAGTCACCCCTGTGTGCATATACTGCAAACTGGGCTAGCTCTGTTAGAATTTTAACCTTTGTTAGTTCTTGTACAAATCTGAAAACTGAAAACTTTTTTGTTTTGCTGGTGTTTGTAAGACAGACTCTCACTCTATAGCCCAGGCTAGCCTAGAACTTGCAGAAATCTTCCTGTGCCTTCTGCCTCAGTCTCCTGAGTGTTGGGCTCACAGGTGTGAACCATACTCAGCTTTTTTTCTTCATAATAAAATTTCTGGATTGGACCACATAAAAGTGGTCCAATCTACTTGCTTTCCTGTCCCTTTCTGTACTGGCCTTGCACATGCCCGGCAAGCGCTCTTCCACTGACCTCTGTCACTGGGCACTATCCCCAGTGAGGATATTCACTGTCAGCATCCTAACTTTACATTTCGGAGGGAAGATGTCTCTGAAACTTGAACCATGTGGTCTCCTACAAATACAGGGGTTATTCCTGGGCCACATGTACATGCACTCCAACCTCTCCTATGAGGCAGATGTTTCTAAAGCCTGGAAGATTATTTCACTCTTGTTTTTGTTTTGTTTGGGGTTTTGTTTATTTGTTTTGAGGCAAGGTCTCCCTGTAGCCCCAGTTGGTCTGAAAGTTGCTATGTAGTATATATGAGGCTGACCTCGATCCCAGAGATGTCAGGCTGTGTGCCACCACATCCAACCTTGTTTTTTTGAAACAGGGTCTCCTGTATCCCAAGCTGACCAGGAACTCACTATGTAACTGAGGATGATCTTTTTTCTGGTCCTCTTGCCTACACCTTCCAAGGGCACGGGCCACCATATGTAGTTTATACATCTTGAAGACTGAACCCAGGGCTTTCTTCATGTTTTATCAGCAAGTACTGTATCCATTCAGCTACATCCCCAGCCCTACTTTACTGTCTGAGACCTTTATTGCCTTGTTTTATTTGCATAACAAAAGCATCAGAGCTGGTGTGCAGTTCATTGGTAGAGGACTTGCCTAGATGACTTAATTTCTAGTACCATAAAAATTAACCTCATTGCAAATGGGTGCTTAGCTCCCACTGTTCATCACCATAGCTGGAAGTGGATGCTGTCTCTTACCAGTAACAAGCTCCTTCTAAATGGACTTAGTACACAAGAGAGCCATAACAAAGGCTCTTGGGTAGGCAGAAGACTTGAAGGGGTGGCAGAATGACTCAGTGGATAAAGTGCTTGCTGAGTAAGCCTGACCATTGGGTTAGATCCCTGGAACCCATGCCAAGATGAACGGAGACAATAGACTCCACGAGTTGTCCTCTGACCTCCACATGCATCCCCTGGCATCACATGCACACAATAACAGCTAACTAATGAATTAATTTAAAAAATACTTGAGAACTGGGCTTTCCTTAGTTGCCAAAAGAAAACAAAGTGCTTTGTTGTAAGGGCCAGAAAACCTTTTCTTTAAAAGACTGGCTACTAAATACTGTAGACTTTGAGGGCCAGAATCTGTCTGCTGTTGTAACACGGAGCCACAAATGATGTGTGTAACAAGTGAGAGTAGTTTATTCCAATAAAACTTCATGCCATTAAATATTCTTTTTTTAAACCAAAATACGAAAGTAGTCAGTGGACTGGTTTTGCCATAGACCATGGTGTGCCAGACCTTGCATTAGTATGCTCCATTGTTCAAGTATGGGACAGCTTCAAGATGCCAGCAGCCCTTCATGCCATTCAGACTGGCTTCCCAGCCTTAATTCATAAATCTTCAGCTGTATTTTCTTCTTTAAAAGTTCAGTTGAGCTGGGCGTGGTGGCGCACGCCTTTAATCCTAGCACTTGGGAGGCAGAGGCAGGTGGACCTCTGTGAGTTCAAGGCCAGTCTGGTCTACATAGTGAGTTCCAGCACAACTGGGGCAGGGAGACCCTGTCTCAAAAAGATGGAAAAAAAAAAAATTCAGTTGATGCTGTTGACACTGTCATGTTGAAACTTATTTCCCAATATCATAGTTTTTGGTGTGTGCCATTTGGAGATGGTTGAGGGTAGAGTTTCAAATGCCCTCATGAAAGGAAGTAGGGGGGAGTGGAGGAGGTTCCATACATCTCTCCCTTCTACCATCTACCATGTGAAGACACAGAAAGAAAACCTTCACCAGACAACTGAACCTGCCTATGCCTTGGTTGTGGAATTTTTAGCTCCAGAAATGTGGGAAGATCATCATTTCTATGCTTTATAAATCAGTCTTCAATTTGTTGTAGTAACCCAAATGGAATTAGCATGCAGCCTTTCCAGATTGGCGTTTTTCATGTAGCAGTATGCATTTAAAAATTCTTCCATGTCTTTTTGTTTTGTAGGTTCTTACATAGCCTGGGCTGGCTTTGAACTTGGGATTCTCCTGCCTTAGCTGCCCCAGTGCTGATTCCAGGTATATACTTCACACCTGGCTTCTTCATATAATTTTGTTCATTGAAAACTACTAAAACAAAAATGTCAGGCAGTTGCCTAGCCTGTGCGGGGTTCAAGTCCCAGCACAAGATAGGAAGTGAATTGACTTTTAAAAAGTCAGCTTACTTTTAGAAAATTAACTTAAAGATTTAATGAATAGCCTCTGTCCCTTTTTCCTAGTCCTTCGAGTTAATGGAACCAATGCTAATGATTTGGCCTTTACCCTGCCTTTTTTTTTCTTCCTTCTCTTCTGGCTTTTTGATATGGGGTTTTGCCATGTAGCCCTGGCTGGAACTTACTATGCAGCTCTAGATGACCTTGAACTTATAGCAATCCTCCTATATCTGCCTCTCAGTAGCTGAGGTTACAGGCATGAACCACCATGTCCGACCTATTTTGCATGTTTTCATAGTAGTAATTCTCATCTTTCTACATCCAAATTACAGGGTTCTTTAAGCACTTTTAAAACGATTTATTTATGTGTGTATGTGTCTCTGTGTGCCAGTATGCTCGTGGGAGTCTGAAGAAGGTATTAGGTCCCTCAGGGCTGGAGCTTCAGGTGTTTACAGCATGCCTATGTTGCTACTTGGGTACTAGGATCCAAACTCCAGTTCTCATGATTGCACAGCAAATGTCTTAACCACAGAGCCAACTCTTCAAGCCCTCTTTTAAGCATTTCTTGTAATGAGAGGCTACTGGTGGTAAATGCCCTTCGTTTTGCTTCTCTGGTATCGTGGTTTGCATCCAGTGTCTTCCAAAGACCCATATCTTTTTTAAAATTTATTTTTATTTTATGTATGTGAGTGTTTTGCCTATCTGTATATAAGTGTATCCATGTCATGCAATGCCTGTGGAGGCCAGAATTGGTCATTGAATCCCCTAGAACTAGAGTTATGGATAGTTGTTAGCCACCCTATGGGTGCTAGGAATTGAATTTGGGTCTTCTGCAAGACCAGACAGTGCTATTAACCCACTGGAGCTACAGGGAGACCCCCCCCCAAAAAAAAAGAAAAAAAAAGTAGTATTATCCATTACAGATGGATAATGTCTTTTCACCTCTGTGCTTTGTGTGTGTTATGGAGCCTGGCATAGAGTAGGCACAGACATAATGTTGATGAATTTATGGAATAAATAGACCCTTGTGTTTGTTATGTTACTTTTGTTGTTCCCAGGGCACAGAGATCTGGTCCAGCCCTGTGCAACCTGCTCCTCTGGTAAGTTTGGTGGCCTATCCTCAGCTGCAGCTGGTTGTTACTGTGGACACACAGGGATTGATCATTGTGTGGAAAGCAGAGACTCGATGTGAACAGGCCTCCTTCTGCTTGCCAACCTCCTCTTCTGCCATGGAAGCCTGTGACCATCCAGATGGAACCTTCCTGCTGGTAAGTAAACTGGCTCTCAGGAGCCTCTAAGGGCCTAACTACTTCTCAGGGTCTGGGCCACTGTGGTGGGTGGAACCTGGTGCCCTCTGCTATTCTGATTCCTCCTTACCCAACATGTGGAATGCAGGCTCCTCTCTCCTTCAGCTGTGTGTGTGTGGAACAGCCTTTCTCTGTAACCTCTTACTTTTTGGTGAGAACCTGCTGTTTGTTTTCTGTAGTTTTGCAGTCGTGTACCCTTGCTTTCTTGTCTGCCAGCTTGTGATGTAGTCTAATACATGCAAATTTTCTTCTCCTGAATTCTTTTTTCAAAAGTGTTATTTTATGTATATTTAATCATACTTAGACCTCTCCCCCCCAGATTTCATGCATTCTGTCTCATACATATATACATATGTATGTTAAGTCCTGTCCAGTCAAGCATTTGTACCCAGATGTCCCTCTGTACAAGTTCATCCACTGGAGTCTAGCCTATCTAGAGTCAATCCCTTAAAGAATATCAGCTCTCTCTCACCCAGAAGTATTCAGTTGCCAGTAGTTCCTGCTGCCCATTTCCCCAGTTCTATGCTGGATTTTGTCTGATTGAATCAGCATAGGTCTTAATTCATGCTGTCACCATTGCTGCAGGTTCATATGAGCAACTTTCCAGAGGCCTGTAAGCCTCTATTTCCTTATATTTATGCACTAACCCTGGCTCTTACAATCTTTCCACCCCCTCTTCTGCTGTGGTCTCTGAGCCATGGGAGTTCCATATCTGGTCACACACAGAGAATGTATGTCTGAGAGATGCCAAGCCCTAAGTTTTATTTATTTTTCTTATTATATGTATATGAGAGTTTTGCCTGAATGTATGTAAGTACACTTGTGTCATGCATTGGCCATGGACACCAGAGGAGGGCATCAGATCCCCTGGAACTGGAGTTACAGATGGTTGCTATCTACCATGTGGGTTTGGGGAATGAAACCCTGGTCCTCTGCAAGGGCAGTCAGTGCTTTTAACCACTGGGCCATCTCTCCAGCCCCACTCCTGCATTCTTAACAGTTTTTTAATGAATTGAAAATAGGAATGATGAGTAAGGCAGGCATGGTGACGCACACCTGTAATCCTAGCTACTTGGAAGGTGGAGATGGAATCATAGTTTCCAGGCCAGCCTGGGCAGTTTGGTGAGACTGTATCAAAACATATGGGAGAAAAGAGGCTGGCAATGTACCTCAGTGGTAATACATTTGTTGAGCAGAGGCTAGTAATGTAGCTTAGTTGCAACAGGTTATTGATGTAGCTAAGTTGTAGTGGGTTTGTTTAGCAAACATGAGGCCTAGGTTGCTTGCATAGAATCACCAAACAGCAACAACAAAATCCTAATAATAATCATTTAGTGATTCTAATGAGCTGAAAAACAAACCTTCTTAGACCTTAATACAGGAGACACAAAAAATCAAAGTGGTGAGTTGCCTTAAAGTCATTTATTCCAATGCAGCTTAGAAGGAAGAGTTAGAATACAGGTCACCACGGATGGACCCTGTGAACTTTCATGCAATGCTGAGATGAGCAGGTGCTTCAGACTAAGTGAGGGCAGGGGGTTGCATAGGCTGTAGCCCAGCTGCCTGGTCCCTTTGTACAAGTAAGTGGAAATCCATTCCTGATAGTTGTACCTCAGCCTTACATGTTTCTGTTTTCAAATTCATCTTGGAATTAGCAGGATGAGCAGCAGACCACGTGAAGAGAGCCACAGGGTTTAGACATGGCCATTGAAACACTAGTGAGTTACTGTGTTCATGGAGATAAATTTTAGCAGCAATTTTAAAGTTGTAAAAAAGAAATAACAGATTTAGAGAAGAACTCATTAACAAAGATTGGGCAGGTGGCGGAGTCACATTGTGATTAAAGGGGTTGGGGGGGGAGCATGTAGACTGCTGGCCATGTGCTAGGTTTTTTTGATCTTTTTGTTTTCTGAGACAGGGTTTCAGGTGTCCTAGGCTTATCTTGAATTTTCTTTGTAGCGGAGGATGACCTTGAATTTTTGATTCAGGAGAATCAGGAGTCTCTCTCAAGTGATGGGATTATAGGCATGCATCATCACACCTCGATTGGTTGAGGCAGGAGGATCCTGAGTTTGAAACTAGCCTGGGCTATATACACAGTGAGACCCTGTGTCAAAGGAGGAGGAGAAAAAGAAAGCAAAGAAAATAATCTTTCAGCTCAGATCAAAATCAGAATCAGGGATGGGAATGTAACAAAATGGTAGAGCACTTAGTTGCGTTTGTGAAATCCTAAGTTTGATCCCTACTACCTCTATCCCTCAAAGCCTTTCTTTAAAAAAAAAAAAATACAGGGTCTTGCTGTGTAGCCCAGGTTATCTTAGAACACTCTATTTAGGTGGTTTTATTTCTACAAAAAGCTCACTTTCCTTGCTGAATTTTTCTTCCATTTGGGGGCTTTTCTTCCTTTTTTTTTTTTTTCTCCCTTTTTTGCTGATTTGCTTC